TCGATGATACTTTCATTATTTGTGATGAGAATTGTGATTTAAAAAACCTACTTCAAATCTTCAATAACGCCGCCCACCCAAACATCAACTTTTTACACTTGAGACTGAATCCGACGGAATGTTCCACTTCCTCGACGTCCATCTGACAAAAAACGTCAACAACTCTCTGAAAAGGTTCATATACAGAAAGCCTACATGGAATGGACAATTTATCAACTTTCAAAGCTTAGTGCCCCTAAGCAGAAAGAGGAACCTGATAGACGCTCTTTCCTCGAGGATTAGGAATATATGCAGCGAAGAAGTGGTTGAAGAAGAACTGCGTAGCCTTCGAAAAACCCTGATGGAAAACGGTTTCCCGCCCAGGTTCGTAGACAAGAATCTCAAATCTAAGAAGACTTCTGAACAAGTCCAATCCGTTCCAAAGAAAATTCTTCTACTCAATCTAGAATTCAAAGGTGATATTGAAGCAGAAATCCTTCGCAAACGCCTCTCAAAATCGCTGAGGAAAACATACTTCGCCGCGAGCCTACGACTGACGTTTTCCTGCAAGAAACTGTTCAGCCAGAACGCGAAAGACAAGCTGTCACATTGGGCCACCTTAACGTGCATATACCAGTTTACTTGCTCTTGTGGAGCTGAGTACGTTAGCCGTACCATGCGCCGACTTTAAAAACGCGCTCGTGAACACCACCCAGCCTGGTTAGTAAAAGGAGAGCAAAAGCGTGTATACAGTTCAGTGAGAGAACATCTCGTCAATTCAGGACATTCAGCGCCTTTCGAAGTCTTTCAAAGTAATGTACAAGATTCAACCAAACCTATCAAAAGGAGTGAAATCAAGACATCTGGGCATAACCGAGGCGCTAGCTATCCAAAAGCTCAAACCCACGCTTTGTATACAAAAGAAATACGTCCAACCCCTGTCCCTGCCATGGCCGTCATAAACAGGTAATTTTTTAGTAATGACCATCCCATCGCTTTTGTTATCTAAACTTCCTGTTTATTCTTGTTATTTTAAGTTTTTCTTAATCCCTGTTTACACTACCATATTTTCATACTCGAACTTCGTGTTTATTTTGTCATTTTACTAGTTCTACATATTTAATCCCTGATTGCATAAACAATTATTCATCACATTAGTTTTTTTTATCCAAACATCTTGTCTATTTTGCTATTTCTACATCTCTAAACCCTAATCGCACAATGTCAACCTTCTTAACTATCATGATGCTACTTTGTTTGTTTTATCCATTCCTCTGTTTATTATGGCATTTTAATTCCTAATTTTAATTTTTATTAATTTGACCCTTGATCGGAAATTATTCTAGAACTTTCGTATCCATTTGATATAAATACACGAATGTACAGCCTAGATGATGACTTCGTCGAAAAGGAAATTTTCTTCGCAGCAATTGTCTTTTTATAGATTTTTATGTACATTATTATTAGCGTTATTGTTAGTAGAGAAACAGCGTCTTCTGATTCGTTGTTTTTTTTTTGGCTGAAGATTATTCTGTCATTTGTTTGTTGCCCGTTTCGTAGACAATTCGCTGATATATATGCCTGTGAATCGTATCCGGCCACGCAAAGTCTTTGTTCTTGTTTTTTTTTTCTCATGAACAAGAATTTGGGAAGTTAGCATTGACGTCGATTGCTGTCTACCAATTTTGGTTAGCAGACAGCTCATACAACAGTAGAATAGTGCATACAGTAAAATACACTATCTACAAGTTATACCAATGAGAACACCTCAGTATGAAATGATAGAACAGTTGTACAGTCTTAATAATAAACCATACTGGTAGACATACGGTAACTGAGACTACTTTTATCCAATCAGTAGTATATGCTATACCATAGTAGACTATTACATTCCAGAAGAGAATGTAAGACATGACTGTACATTTGTCACTGATAATATCATCGACGTTACTTCGGGTTGTGCTAATCAGGTGAATCATAGCTATGCAACCTATACACTTCCAAACGATAAATAGCCGGAATGTATCACTAGTATGAAAAAAAAGGTCTTACAATTGTGATGTGATTATGAACAACAATTAAATAACATAATTTTGGCTCTTTTATTTTTCTCTCTTATTTGTATTCTATAGTGAACAATCTTCTGAAACATAATTAGCTACCTAAATTATTAACATTGGCTTACTATTTTGTACTTTATTCTATTCCTTCTTTTGTGTATCTACTGGTTCCGATTATATTAGCCCTATGAGTATCACAAAATTGTCCTGTCATTAACCATCGTGCAATATTAGTTTTATGGTTGTTGTTTTGTTTGTTTGGCAATATTAACTGACAATCTTGGTTGCGAACGCCATTATCACCATCTTAAAAATTTGATATTATGCAGGATTACTCACACTACCACAACAACACCGCATTAGGGCTGACAATAATAAAAACCCTGAAATGTTTATTTTATGATTGTTTAGTGTTGTTCAATCAAATTAACTGAACATCATGGCGATAAACATTCCTAATATCATTTCATAACTTTTACTGTTCACCACGCATAAACATATCATAGCTTCCATTACCCAATACTGAGATATTATTTATTATTGTTGTTTATTTTCCTTTCTACTTCTTGGTATTGTTTTTTCGCATTTTTCGTTATTTTCGTGTTTTTCTTTGTTTTGTTGTTGTTGTTGTTTATATTTATTTTTTGAAATACTCCTTTTAAATGTTTGATAGAATTAGATGCAATATCGTAGATATGTACTGAAAATTCCACACTGTATCACTAGTACTGTTTCTGGAACAAAGCAAATTATTATTATTATGTTAGTCGATGTATAAAAGAAGTTGAATAAGTGTGACGTAGTTACGTAATAAGATGAGTTACTTAATGAGTGTTTTGTGATTAGGATGAACATAGAAACGAAGCAAATTTTGGAATTGTGTAGCAGTTGTAAACAAATACAGCAGCTATAAGGAGGTAGAAAAACAAGCACGTAAACGTCAAGGCAGTAGAAATCAACACGGTTGTTACCATGATAGTGCGAGTGGTTGGATGATTTCCTTTTGTATACGTAACTCTAGTTTTTCCAACTGCATGTTTAAGGCTTCAGCAATATGAAGGAGACGAATACATATTGTCTTTGATAGCTTATTCTTCGTTTTTTAGATTACTTTGAAGGAAGCGGCATTTGTTGAGATGGAATGGTTAGTATTGATGAGGTGTTTGGTTATTGCACTCCTTATACAGCTAATATCACCTTTTTGCAGCCATGCGAGATACTGTTCTCGAACGCTTTTGACAGAAAACTCTTCGGACGACCAATGTACCTGGCTTCACAGCAACAGGTGAACTGATATATGCACATAGGAGCGGCCAGATGACAGATTTTGTCCTTTAGATTTCCGTAGATCAGTGGGTGAATGAAGAACACTACTCTTCGCGTTGCTGCGAAGAATGTTCTTTTCAAAGATACTGAAATTCTTATCTTAAGGATATCGCAACCTAAGTCTCCCTTGAAATCCAGGTGCATGTAGTGTTCCTTTATTGAAATAAGTAGTGTTTCCTTCCTCTGGGATTTTAGTCTGATGTTCTTGTTGATGAATCCATTTTGGATTAATTTTTTTCAGAAGATCCAGTTCTGCTTCCAGGACGTCAGGACTGCAGATGTGTCAGATTCTAGTGACAAGAGATTTAATTAGGTTTCATTTACCCTCTTGCAGTTCGACTATTTATCACATTTTTGAAATATTTTAGTGACGTGAACAATAACAAGTTTTTATCCTTGTTTGACAATTTCAATGTACATATATATATATATATATATATATATATATATATATATATATTTGCGATTGTACAGTCAACTGAATGAATTCACCGTAAGGAGACTGTTAGTTAGCGACTGTTTATCAATGCGTACCCGACGGGATTCGAACCCTGGACCTTTTGATTAAACTCGAGCTAGATCGTAGACCCGATCCAATGTGGTCTACTTGTTTTTCAATTTTTACCTCCGTCTGTTTTCGACATAGAACTTTGCACCGATGTGCACCACTTCGAGTTACCACACTCCCTCCAGGTAGCACACAAAGCAACAGAAGAAAGTAGAAGGAATGCATAATAGAGACAGGAAACAGAGGTGTGAGACAAAGGAATAGTAATAAGGAAGAACAATATAGTTTCATTGGGTATTGTAAGTCACAAGGAGTGGATGTATCATCGCCAGACATTGAGAACGATGATTTTGACCCATATCACCAATTGTTTCCAGCCTTCATTGGTTTTTACCGTCCTGACGACCCCAATCAATCAGTCACGCAGCCTACACCTTCCTATATGGCTGGTTAGCTTAAACTAACTGTTGTGGATTTGATTGACTGATGAAGCCATGTTTTGATTTGACCGCCTCTAGCTGTTTTCTAGCCTGACCCTACGTCGGCTAACATTTCTCGTTTTCGAGGAAGGCGATGACTAGGCATTGATGCGTAACACATGTCCTAACCATCTCAGTCAGTCGATGTAGCTTCACAGCCTCGTCGATTGATTTCCCCTCAACGCTTACCTAGCACTCGACCGACACCTAACCTCAATACTGCTCACCTATGATCAAAGACAGCTAGCCAGCTTTTTCAAGTCTTCCACTCTCAATGGTCAGGTCTCACAGCTGGTCATAAAGGAGGACGGAGCGGACTGGTGAGCATTAAACCCACCCTTTGGTGGATAGTCGGATATCACGTCTACCGATCATGAGACGGCGTAAACTGACATACTCGAAACTAGCTCTCTGTATCCCGTGGTGAGATTTCGTCAGAGATCAACCCATTGGCTTTGGCTGATGATTGTACTTTCCAAATAAGTGAAGCGGTCAACGTGCTCTATCACTTCACTTCGTATTTCTAATCTAGGAGTCAGTGTAGTCCAGTTCTGTGCCATCATTTTACAATTTTTATCTAGCAAAATGGATATTGCATTGCCTTCTGTTAACTATTCCGCTTTCCTTCTTTTTTATTTTTATAATCAGATTCGTATTACACAACTAGAAGCACAGTTAAATGAGATTACAGCACGTTTGACAGCCATTTCTAATCAACCGGATTCATCATCATCATCACCGTCGACTCCCACTATGACTACTGCTACCACTACTCCCTCTCCTTCGTCGACATCATCTGAATCCTGTAATTCAGTATCAGCTGGATCAAAATCAAGCCATTTAGTTAATCCATCAATACCACCACCATTACCTGATTTTGAAAGTTCCCCTGAGTGGAATCCATGGTTGAAAACACAAAATGATGATTGGGACGTTGTTGTTGTCGGCACTGGTGGTGGTGGTGGTGGGGGTGATGATGCTGTTAACAATGAAGATGATGGGGAATTTGAATCAGATGATGATGGTGGGGGTGACACACCAGCACATGAACACGAGGATATTTATTCACCAAGATATAATGGTATTCCGTCATTGTCTAAAAGTCAAAAGTCAACAACAGAATCATCGAGTGGTAGTAGTAGTAGTAGTAGAAGTCATCATGTCGGTGAGGCTAGTGGTATCGGTGCGACCAGCAGGAGCAGTGGCAATAGTCCTAATGTCTACAATTCAAAGTCTTTATTCTATCCATATGTGTCAGCTCATCATCATCCTCATACGCATAAGGATCTATCGTCGAATTGGAAACAGTTGATTTACAATTGGCTATGGATACAATTCACTTGGCCTATAAGTTTATACGATTTAGGCGTATATATGCATAAAACATGTCAAGCGAATTCTGTAACTTGCAGTGTAAGTCCTATTATTATTATTGTTCCCCTGGGTTCCTAGTGGAACATAGGCTTCAACTGCACGTCTCCCTCCACTTGCTTCTGTCTTCCTTCTGCTGTACTTTCACCTCCATCCATGTCACTCCATACTGTTTCAACTCCTCTTCACATGATCTCCTCCATGTCACCCATCCTTGCACTGATGTCCCCTTCGCCGCTTCCCTTTCGGCCTGGTTCCACTCGAGCAATGGCCTGACGCACGCGCCATGTCATTAACCGGCCTCCTCAGCGAGTGTCCAAATCATCTCAATCTACTTCCTCCTGCATATTTGTTGGTTGGCGATTGGGTTTTGTTTTGTTTGTTCCCATAGTTTCCCATAGTTTGTGATTATTTCCGGCCCGGCCATCTGATCTTCAGTATAGAGCCAGCGAAGACAGTTGTTGATAAGGGTGTACAATAGCCAGCCTGTTGGAAATATTCTTTGTGACACGCCCGCCCGCCAAGTTTCTCATCCGTATAGAAGAACTGACTGACTTGACGTTAGTATTGAAAATCTGAACGAATTTTGTTGTTGATTCTGGCTGAGTGACGAAGATTTCCAGATTAGTTTCAGGTGGTTGATGAATGTGTTTCTCGCCTTCTCGATTCTCGCTCGATTAGACATCCTCGTCCGTTCCTCCGTTCCTGTAGTTGAGACAATGCTCCTAGATAAGTGAATGAAGTAACCTGTTTCAAATCCCTCTCGTTGATGGTGATTGGCACTGGATGTTGATGTTGTTGTTGTTGTTAGTTGGTTGGTTATTTTCATAACCTCCGTCTTGTCTATGTTCACCTGGAGTCCTGTCTTCGCCGGCTGGTTCTTCTACCAGTTTGTCGGTTTTCGCTTGTAAGTCTTCGATTTTGTGTGACATCAAACATCCACAACATCATCCGCGAAATCCAGGTCTTCTAGGTTCTTCATTCCCTATGGATTCTACCAATTTATATCAACTTAGTCTTTTATATTATATTATATGATATCATATGAGTTGTATCATGTTTATTATTTTTGTTTTTCATATTGTTCTTCTCAATCTGTAAATATAATCCAATATTATTAAGTTTTTGCAGGATTTCATCATGAACTGACTGTGGTTAGAGAACTACTGGAAAACCTGCAGAGGGTACTGGACAGCTAGCTGTTTCGGCCTAGTTTGTGACCTGCTGCACCCTACTGGTCACGACTTCCCACTAGAAACCCTACCTGAATAGGGCCGGTCGCCAGTGAGTAGTGGGGAGTTGTGACCAGTTGGGTGCAGCAGGTCGGATGTGAGGACAAATACTCGCCGAAGATATTGGCTAGCGGTTGCGCTATATTGTGAATTGGCAGAAGTTAGAATTCATGGACTGACTGACTATTGAATCTGCTCCCACTGGCTGAATGGTCTACGAGTTAGCTCGCCTTGTAGCCAGAAGGTGTTGGTTTTGAACCCTGGTGGTGGGTGCGTACTGATGAAGAGTCCCGAACTAGGGTGAAACAGCTGGCTGTCCAGTACTCCCTGCAGGTTTCCCAGTGGTTCTCCACCTGATGTCAGCTCATGATAAAATCCTGTAACCAATCAACCAAATTCTTACGAACTAACACTTGCATATTAAGTTTTAAGTGGAAAAGTGTAACTTAGTAGTGCAGGACTACTCTTAGTTCCTGGTATCGGATTGAAATTTTGGAAAACCATTACTGTAATTTAAGTCACATTATATTTACTCAGTTGTGATTGGTGAGATATTATCGGTGGTTGGTTGTTTGTCTAGTTATGGTTAGATCTGTCTGCTAGCCAAAATTGTAGACATCAACAATCTACGCGTCAATGTTTACGTCCCAAATCGGGGTCATGAGAAAAAAAAAACCAAGAATTAAAGCCTAACCTTGAGGAACTTAACAACCGATCACAGCAGACTTGACGTGTACAAATACGACTCGCAGATATATGGCTTAACTTTCTAAGAAATGGCAACAAAAAGATGGCAGAATAACCTGTAGCAGGAAAACAACCAATAAGAAGAGGTTGCTTCTCTGTTAACAATAACGCTGATAATAATGTACATAAAAGTCTATAAATATCTGTTGAATTTCTGAATAAAGGATCTGTTGTCTGGCCCTTGTCTTCAGTCGTTACATGTTTATTTCGTGCATGAGTATGGATGAGCAATTATGTAAGCAGGGTAGTTAATAATCATTAATAAGTGTCTAGTGATCTAGTGATTTCATTTAGGTATGCATGTAGCTCATTAGCTTAGACATCTGATTTTCGTATAACCGATATTGATTTCATCATCCGATTTAGTGTACTTTGCAGTGTACAACCAAGTAGTATAATAAATAGATTGAAGATCTACAGTTGTCAGATGTATTATTCAACAAAATGAGACTCGGTGGGAACATTACTGACTGAGAAATGCAGGTACATTCAGATGACGACTCCCAAATAGGACGAAGTGTGCATCCTGGACTCCACTGTTAGTCACTATCAACCAATTAAAATGAGACTCTGCTTATCTGTATACTTCTTTCTATTGACATAAATTTATATTATAGTGCAATATATATGAACCTACATCGGTTAGAAATCTGGACAGTGTGATTTCGTCCTAATTTGGGACTCTTCCTCAGTGCCCATCTCATCCCTGTCGTATTTAGGACTGAACCAAAGGCCTTCGGTCAACGAAACAGACCTGTTTATCACTTAGCTACTGGGCTTGGATTTTGCGGTAGGTATAACTCAATGCTGTTGCCAAGTTTCTGCTCTCACATCCCGCTTAAATAATTTTATAAGCTACAACTTTTAATTACTCAGTATTACATTATATTTGTAGTCATTTGGTGGATGGCGACTAGCAGTGGAATCCACCAGGAAGTGAATTTCGTCCTGTCTGCGTGTTTTCAACTGGAAGATCTGAAATTAAATAATTAATAAGACCCGTTGCACATGTGGTGGTTCTTATGGCTCAAGATCCTTAACTCACTGGAAAATGTGGGTACATCCAGATGACGGGTGCCACATAGGACGAAATGTGTGCATCTTGGTGGATTCCACTGCTCGTCAGTCACCATCCACCAATTGACTTCAAGTTACATGACCAGACATTGTTGAAGCAATCTGCACAAGAAGGTGATATGTTGCCTTTATTTTTCCTTTTTTTTTCTCTAGGCTTTCAGTTTGATTTTTCTACACTTACTGTTAGCAGCTATATCACACTTATTCATCTATTGGACATGGCTTCGACCGTATAATATTAAAAGTCATAAAAATAAATTCAGCACAGAAGCCTTAGTATTATCGTCATCATCGTCATCGTCACCCTCATCTTCGTCGTCATTATATCGAATATTATGCTCACATATAAATAATCCTAATGCAAATAATTTAATTTTATGCTATACACCAAATCATTTATCAGAGAATCATAGTGATAACAATCAATGTGTTAATGTTTCATTGCTTCCTCCGTCGTCGTCGTCGTCGTCTACTAATTATTCTACTGCTAAAAGTGAATTTCATGAAAATAATGAGTTATTATTATCATTGAAGGAAGGAAAATCTCTGCAAAATTTAACATCAAATGTGTCAACATGTTGTTATTGTTGTTGTCATTGTTCTTGTAAATCATCACTGGCTTCATCTTGTATCGCTTCCTCTGCATCCGCCTCGGCCTCCTCATCGTCATCTTCATCTTCGTCAACTGTAGCTGAGGCAGTGAAGATAGCATCGATAGCATCAACTATTTCACCAATGAATCATGCCTATCATTGTAATCATTCAATGCAAAAAACTAATGCTATCATCATCAATAATAATAATAATAATCCTGTATTCAAGTCAAGTGAACAGGTTTTTATCGAAATTTACAATGATAAGGATAAAAATGGGATTATCAATAAAATAAATAATAATGATAATATGCATACAACATGTTGTATGCATGATAATAATAATAATCAAACTAATCGCTTTATATGTGATCATTCTAATGATAAGGATTTCTATTCTGCTGAGATTATAAAGGTTAGTTAGTCAGTTATACACTCCTTTTAGTTTGTTTGTTTGTTTGTGTGTCTTCATGTCTTCACTTTATTTTGATTGAATGGAGAATTTCATCATCAGCTGACATCAGGTGGAGAACCACTGGAAAACCTGGGAGTACTGGACAGCCAGCTGTTTCATCCTAGTTTGGGACTCTTCATCAGTACGCACCCACTGCAGGAGGTTCAAACCCAGGAGCTTCTGGTTACAAGGTGACTTCACAGACCATTCAGCAGTCACTGAGATACAATCCAATGGCCATCCAGTCCATGAATTCTAACTTCTGCCAATTCACGACATAGCGCGACCATTTGGCAATGTCTTCTTCGATGAGTTACTGCCTCACCACCTTCAACCTACTGTGTACCCTACTGGTCACGACTTTCCACTAGAACCCCTGGTAACTAACTTCCTGAATAGAGCCAGTCGCTAGTGAGCATCAGATTAACTCATTTAAATAATTGAATCCAAGTGCTTCAGCGAATGAGTTATTCCGATATGACATAATCTCCTTAGTACTTTGTTTAATCCGATTCATTGGATCGGGTCCCAGTGGCTCTGTGGTCTACGAGCTAGCTCGTCATGTAATCAGAAGGTCCTGGGTTTAAACTGTGGTGGTGGGTGCGTGCTGATGAAGAGTCCCAAACTAGGATGAAACAACTGGCTCTCCAATACTCCCTGCAGGTTTTCCAATGGTTCTCTGACTGACGTCAGCTCATGATGAAATCCTCCATCCAATCAAACAAAAATCCCTAAAAACCCAATACTTGAAAATCTTTATTTTATTCTTGGAGATAACAGATAGATAAGCACTTTTTTTGTTACTTATTGCAAACTAATTTGTTATCAGTCTCAAGTGTTGCTATGCAGGGATTTGATTAGTTACAAGATTGACTATGAGCTGACATTAGTTGAAAATCCAAGGAGTAGTTAACAGCTATTTCGTCAGTCTAGATTGAGACTTTTTCAGAAGTACACACCACTTACCGCCAGGAGGTTCGAACCTCAAAACCTGCGGGTTACGAGATGAGCTAGCTCGTAGACCATTCAGCAACCAATGGGATCCGACTCAATGACCAGCTGCCCATGAAAATTCGGTGATAACGTCTCTGACTGCAGCACTGTACTGGGTGACAACGTGGGATCGAATCTCAGAAGGCGAGGCATGAGTTCTTTCAAGATTTCTGACTGGTCAGTACCAACTAGCCCGAAACCTAGGCCGATCGTCTCCAACTATCTAATATCATCAAATAAATGTGCACCGTGATGACGAGCTACCTACAATGGTGGTCACATTGCAAACCTGACTGACTGAAAGAATTCAGTGTGCACCAAAGAGAAAGGACTAGACACATCACACTAGTTACTAGTATCCAATCAAAATTCCAACTTCTTCCTTTTTCGTGATGTGTATGTATTCATCGCAAATGCAAGCCAGTGTCACAGTCAAGTAACCGTTTATTTGCCTGACTTGTTGAACCCAGCTGTTAGGTACAACTTCTCACTGGAACCCCAGGGAACTTCCTGTATATAGAGCTCGGTAGCTAGTGAGCATCAGATTATATTATCAAGTGTTGGTTTGCAGGGAAGTTAGAGGGAGAACTGTTGGTTGTCGTAATGTATTATTACCACTGGCAGATTTCTCCATCTTTTTCTGCTAGTTCAGACTTCCTTGCTACGACTACTATTGACGCAACACTTAGTGCTCTATTTCTTGTCTGGTTGTATTTCTTCAAAACAGAAATGAATAAGAGCAAACAGTTATTATCAGTAATTTTTTCTTCAAGCTCTACAATCATATGTATATTAATTCTAGCCATACGATAAATAACCAGTAAAAGTACAAGCAAAAACCGACAAACTGGTAGAAGAACCAGCCGGCGAAGACAGGACTCCAAGTGAACAAAGACAAAACGGAGGTTATGAAAATAACCAACCAACTAACAACAACAACAGCAACATCCAGTGCCAATCACCATCAACGAGAGGGATTTGAAACAGGTCACTTCATTCACTTATCTAAGGAGCATTGTCTCAACTACACGTAGTCGGAACAGACGAGGATGTCTAATCGAGCGAGAATCGAGAAGGCGAGGAACACATTCATCAACCACCTGAAACCAATCTGGAAATCTTCGTCACTCAGCCATAATCAACAACAAAATTCGTTCGGATTTTCAATACTAACGTCAAGTCAGTCAGTTCTTCTATACGGATGAGAAACTTGGCGGGTGGGCGGGCGTGTCACAAAGAATATTTCCAACAGGCTGGCTATTGTACACCCTTATCAACAACTGTCTTCGCTGGCTCTATACTGAAGATCAGATGACCGGGCCGGAAATAATCACAAACTATGGGAACAAACAAAACAAGAAGCAATCGCCAACCAACAAATATGCAGGAGGAAGTAGATTGAGATGATTTGGACACTCGCTGAGGAGGCCGGTTAATGACATGGCGCGTGCGTCAGGCCATTGCTCGACTGGAACCAGGCCGAAAGGGAAGCGGCGAGTGGGACGTCAGTGCAAGGATGGGTGACATGGAGGAGATCGTGTGAAGAGGAGTTGAAACAGTATGGAGTGACATGGATGGAGGTGAAAGTACAGCAGAAGGAAGACAGAAGCAAGTGGAGGGAGACGTGCAGTTGAAGCCCTATGTTCCACTAGGAACCCAGGGGAACAGTAATAATAATATATAATCTGCAAAAGGACAGGTTTTACGGGTGCTTGTAGTCCGTAGAGTGAGACACCATAATAATATAACAGGAAAATACATCAACAAATAGGGTAGGCTAAACGTAAGTTCAAAGGTGACAAATAACAGTAATACTGACAAAACAATAACTATGGTGTAAACTTAAAAGTACTACTATGACAGTAGAAGACAAGAGGCCAAGAGACTTACTTGTTTAAAGGAAGATGTTTCTCTGGAATTTGGTATCTCTGTTCATCCGTATAGCGAAATTATGTACACCTTATTATTATTATTATTATATCCTTTAATTTTTAGAGGAACATAGGGCTTCAGCCAAACGTCTCCTTTGCCTTCTGTTTTCTGATAACTTTTTCACTCCGCTCAAAGTCTGCCCACATGCTTTCATCTCCCCTTCACATCACTTCCTCCAAGTCACCCTTGCACTGACGACCAACTCGCCGCTTCCCTTTCAGGTTCCACTCGAGCAATGGCTTGTCTACTGATGTCACTTGATGCTTTCCTCAGAGCATGGCCGGCCAATCCATCTCCATTTCTTCTGCCTATTTGTTTCGCAATCGGTTCCTGGTTCGTTCGCTCCCAGAGATCTTTGTTGCTGATCTTTTCTGGCGGCCATCTGATCTTGAGTGGTATTGAACGAAGACAACTGTTAATGAAGGTGTGAAGTTTGTTTAAGATACTCTTTATAACGCGCCAAGTCTCTGATCAGTGTAGTGAGTAGCACTGACTTCACATTGAAGTTGAAAATCCGGATCTTATTTTTGATGCTGAGTGCTGTTGACCTCCACACAGGCTTGAGAGTAATGAAAGCTTGTCTTGCTTTTTCGATTCTTTCTTTGATATTCTCGTCAGTACTGTTGGCCTGTAGTTGAAACGATGCTTTCCAGGTAGGTGAAAGAGGTTGTTTCTTTCAGGTTCTTCCCATTTGTGCTGGCAGAAGAAGCATCAAAGATAGCACTTCAAGTGAACATAGATATAACAGAGGTGATTGAGATTCTTGGCCATCTTGATTGCATTCAGGACTTCTGATTTCGTCGGGGTGTTGATGTTCACTGGTAGTTCTACTTCCGTTGTTGATATTGTTGAGCGCGTTGTAGGTGGCGGACGATTTGGAAGTCTTTTAAAGTGTTCAGCCCAGTGTTTTCTTTGCTCCACCTCTTTGGTGATTGACTTTCTATTGTCATCCTTGACTGGCTTAATCTGTGTCGAACTTTTGCCCTTATCTTTAGTGCACCATTTTTACAGATCTCTCGTGTTGTGTTTACTAATTATAATAATAATAATAATAATAATTTTTCCTTCACGTTCCCAGTGGAACATTAGTCTTCAAGCTAATGGCTTGAAGTTTCTGTAGCAGTGTTTAATTTTACAGGATGGGGTTGCTAGCCAGCCTCAGGCCCAACCTTTTCTCGTTAACAGCATTATTTCTGGCTTAGCGAGGTGAAGGAGTGCGTTGGTGGCTGGGGATCGAACCCCAGACCGTGTGCATGGTCGGCGAGCGTGCTAACCTCTGTGCCACCGACTCACTGTTTGCTATTAATGGCCTTCCTTATTGTGTACTTTTTTGTCTCACATGTTTTACCGAAACATACTGGTTCATTTCCTCACTCTCCCTTTTTTTTCTCTCTCTCTCTGCGTATATGACGTCAAATCCATAGCTTCGCTGTTTGACGTCTTTTTATACGGATGAATGTCTCCTTATACACGCCACACAATTAGTGAAGGATGACAGACAGAAGGATGATAATCAGGTAATAAGGAATTAGAATAAAGCAAGGACAACAGTGGTTTTTGCAAAATAAACTGGTACCATCGTTGCTTATTTCGTCGGATTCTCATCGTCTGCTTAGAGACCAAAGCCATTATTCAATATATCTGCAGATACAATTTTAACATACTTCCACTGAGTTCATTTTTAAGCAAAAATCAGTCAATATATGCATAGAATATATATATATATATATAAAATCGACACTTTATGCCGAACAATACTCACCATACACATTGGAAACTTTCGGGATTATATAATCAGATGAAAGAGAGGATGAAAATATTCAGTTACGAGGGCAAGGAAATACTGATAACCGCTTCTCTCTGAAAGCATTAATCAGGTTTCAGGCGCTTGATGGAGATCGCTTCGGCAAATTTTGATAAGAATTGAACTCGTTTGCCTATTGATAATATTAAACGATCTTCCGACGTCCACTTCATGATCTGTGTCAAGGAGATGCCTGGTGATGCCATTGTTGAAAGCATTTGTCCCTTTTAGA